GACTGTCAACAACGTCTGACCGTGGCCGCGACGTCTCATAGACTAGGGTTAGAGTAGCTTCCCTTTGACGAAGGGCAGTTACTCTAGCGGACAGACCAACGGATTGCCGCGAAAGGCAATTAAAAACAATTGTTGTTTTGCGTATATGTTGCTTCGCCACTGTATAAGAAACAGATTTCAGTTGGAACTATATTGGCTACTGTCACTGTCCGACTGACACATCACCTACCCTGTGACGTAATAAATATTAATGCGCGCATTCTAGGAAATGTTTCGGTAATGTTTGTGAGAGAGGGAAAGCGATTTTCAAGCAAAGAATTAAATAATGACATTATATGATAAAGAGGTTATCACGCTTGTGTGTTTGGGGATGGTAAATATCCTGTATTAGGAATAAACACTATGTATTTAGCTCGCCAAGGCTCGCTAAATACAATGTTTATTCCTAATGCAGGATATTTACCATCCCCAAACACACTCGCGTGATAACCTCTATTTATTTTTTGATATCTTAAAAACATTATTGATATCTTTAAATAAAATACCGATATCTTTAAAACAATTTAAGATATCTGTAATTCCGTAATAAATGTGAAAACGGCTTGCCATACGCTACTGTGTTTTGGGATGGTAGATATACTGTAATATAAATAAACTTTGTATTTAGCATGTTTAGCGAGCCCAACACACACAAGCGTGATAACCTCTTTATAATATAATTTCATTCCTAAATTCTGTCGTCGAAAAACCTGTTCTAATTTCTCAGTTGTAAACAATACCTAAATTGGAATTTGAGCATTAATGTATAAAACATCAGAAGGTCAATGCTTTGTCAGTCGGACAGTGACAACAGTCAATATATAGTTCCAACAGAAACCTTTTTCTCAGACAGTAGGGCGGTCGGGTAGCCTAGTGGTTAAAGCGTTCGCTCGTCACGCCGAAGATCCGGGTTCGATTCCCGACATGGGTACATTGTGTGAAGCCCATTTCTGGTGTCCCCCGCCGTGATATTGCTGGAATATTGCTAAAAGCGGCGTAAAACTATACTCACTCACTCACTCCCTCAGACAGTGCCGTAACTACATAACTAAAAATTACCTAGACAAACTTGCTTTCGCGGCTATCCGTCGGTCCGCCCGCTAGAGTAACTGCCCTTTATCTAAGGGGGGCTACTCTACTCTAACACTAGTCTGAGAGACGTCTGCTTCTCCTGTCATAACGTTACGAGGTGCCGTCAGATGGACACACATAGACAAAATTTAAGAAGGTATATCAATTCGGCCATATTTAGGCCAAATCCAACTTTTTAAACTGGGGAAATTGCCACAGGCCACACAGGTCCACACGCACGGATATGGAAACTGAGCCCGGTATAGGCCTATGTCCTCGCTAAATTATTTCTCAATTTATATCTCCAAATTTGCCCAATTTGTAGCATGCCTCAGCTACGTCCCGGTTAGACACTGATTTCACTATGTTTGACAATTGTTTTGATGATAATAACAATTATCCCACTAGTTTCTCTAGATTCCCGATGGTGAAATCTGCTTCGATCGCCGATTGACAAGGGCGACGCCATGTTTGTTTGTAAACACTGAAAGTAGTACCTACCCGACCTTTCATATTTGCATCTTTAATATATATGACCCCAACGAATACCATTTTATCCTTTGGCTTTTCCCTGTCGAGAAACATTCCCATTACTAGTATATGATAAAGCCATATATCTCGCGACACATATCACGATATCAACCTCATCGAAACTCAAAGGCATGTATCACTCTTCCTGCTGTCAACACTGGCATGCTTGGTGCAACTCGTCTACAGGCCGTCGTGGTATAGCTGGAATATTGCAGAGTAAAATAACATTCACTCACTAACTCGTTACCCAGAGACAAAGTCTAAAATGAGTGACAGTCATGTTCAGACGTTGTTGACTGTCGGCCTGTCCTGTCATAACGTTAAGAAGTGCAGTCAGATGTACACACAGCGACAAAACGAAACAAAGTAACATATTTCGGCCCAATTAATGCTGACTCTATCGCCGAATAACAAGGGCGACGCCATGTTTGTTTGTAAACACTGAAAGTTGTCCCCACTTGACCTTTGATATTTGCATCTCTATCCGCATATGACCCCAACGGATATCGTTTTTACCCGTTGGATTTATCATGCCGAGAAACCTACCTATTATATGATAAAACCAGAATCGTATTGTAATATGATGAAAATATTTTTAAAATGTTTTTTGTTTTTTTAAGACACAGAGACCTCCAGTAGTATCCAAATGTCAATGCAACAGAGCGACCGAACCAGTCAAACGCCCAGTCTAGAAATCTTACCTTCGCCAACGGAAACAGGCTTCACGTCATCAAGTCACGTGACCATCCCGGAAACGACCCCGACAGACAATCCTGGCACCTTCTGGTGCCCGTGCGACTGGCCTATCAACGGCAAGATCAACCTGAGCGTCGAGCAGAAGATCGCGAGATACCGCCACAGCCTCACTCTCATCAAATCCAACTTGTCCGCTGTCCGACGGCGCTTGACCAGCGCGTATGACGTCAGACCATCCTCGCGTTACATGGGCGCTTCCGGGGCAACCATCTTAGGGCTTGTGTTTGGGGTGATCGTCATGGCGGATGTTCAGAGAATCCTGGAGTGTTTCATGGACCGGAAGAGAAGAGTTTGCCACACCGAGATTGTCCGAAAAGAGGAAAAGTGTGAAACAAGTTCCTGCTGAAAGGAATGAAATAGTTAATACCCATAGCCAACCGGGGCTGCGGGTAGTCTAGTGGTAAAGCGTTCGCTATTCATGCAGAAGACCCGGTTTCGAATCCCTATGTTATTACTACATGTGAAACCATGTCCCTGATGTGACTGAAATACTATACTATACTCACTCACTATTCAACAATTTAACAATTCACTAATTCACTATTGAGAGCATTTTGTCATGTCGTGCTGCTTTTTGTATTTGTAACGGTAATGTAAATGTTTACACACACACACACAGACACACACACACATACAGTAAACTACGGTTATAGCGAGCACGCTTATAACGAACTGACGGATATAACGAACTTACTTATTTTTTACCGACAATTTGCTGTGGTTATTATGTATATATGCTTATGGCAAACTACGGTTATAACGAACTAAAATTAGTAGTCCCCATGAGTTCGTTATAACCGTAGTTTACTGTATGAAGTTTTCCTTTATCGTCGTAAGAGCTGATGAGATGCAGAAGAAGGTTGGACTTTGTGTTTTCAACGTCTAATGTTCTAAACTCAAGGACAAGATACGAAATGTTTTCATTATGGTTGACGGGAATCGAACTCACAATCTCCTGTCTACAGGACTGGCTGAAGATGCGCTTTGTCAGAAGGTACTATATTCAGCGTATATTTTTATCCAGATATATTTTACGAGTGTTTCTTTAGACTGTCGTATCGCACTTTTATGCATAATATGTAACACATATTAATACATGTTTTTTCGACGGTTAATATGTCGGATAAAAAACTCCTCGTTTTTTGTTGACATGGTCAAACCTTCGGGCGGCAGTGAACTGGCTAGTAAAACTTCGTGCTGACACCTTCTGTTTTACAAGCTCGGTCACTGCTTGCTTCAGGTTAAACGATGTGAACCAAAACCTCGGAGTGTTGTTTCGTCATCTACGTATCCCCTCATCTGTGCATACTTTATGTCATGCACCTGTTCTATATCTGACAGTTGGCAGACAGTGGAAGCATATGTAATGCATATTTTGATGTCATAATAAAGGAAATTTGTGGATTTTGTTACATTGAATCATTTTAAAATTCTCATGCTCTCTCTCTCTCTCTCTCTCTCTCTCTCTCTCTCTCTCTCTCTCTCTCTCTCTCTCTCTCTAAAATGTACACCAAGGTTGTAAACGTGTATAGTAAGACCTGCATCTGGGCTGTCCTCCAACAATATACTGACAGGTCATGATATAACTGAAATATACACCAAGGTTGTAAACATGTAGGACCTGTTTCTGTGTTGTCCTCCAACAATATACAGACAGGTCATGATATAACTGAAATATACACCAAGGTTGTAAACATGTAGGACCTGCATCTGGGCTGTCCTCCAACAATATACTCACAGGTCATGATATAACTGAAATATACACCAAGGTTGTAAACATGTAGGACCTGCATCTGGGCTGTCCTCCAACAATATACTGACAGGTCATGATATAACTGAAATATACACCAAGGTTGTAAACATGTAGGACCTGCATCTGGGCTGTCCTCCAACAATATACTGACAGGTAATGATATAACTGAAATATACACCAAGGTTGTAAACATGTAGGAACTGCATCTGGGCTGTCCTCCAACAATATACTGACAGGTCATGATATAACTGAAATATACACCAAGGTTGTAAACATGTAGGACCTGCATCTGGGCTGTCCTCCAACAATATACAGACAGGTCGTGATATAACTGAAATATACACCAAGGTTGTAAACATGTAGGACCTGCATCTGGGCTGTCCTCCAACAATATACTGACAGGTCATGATATAACTGAAATATACACCAAGGTTGTAAACATGTATGACCTGCATCTTGGCTGTCCTCCAACAATATACTCACAGGTCATGATATAACTGAAATATACACCAAGGTTGTAAACATGTAGGACCTGCATCTGGGCTGTCCTCCAACAATATACTGACAGGTCATGATATAACTGAAATATACACCAAGGTTGTAAACATATAGGACCTGCATCTGTGTTGTCCTCCAACAATATACAGAAAGGTCATGATATAACTGAAATATACACCAAGGTTGTAAACGTGTAGGACCTTCATCTGGGCTGTACTCCCACAATATACAGACAGGTCATGATATAACTGAAATATAATCCAAAGCAAACTAGCACTGCAATCCCTTCAAAAAATGTACGAAATTAAAAATCCGACCAAGTACTTTTACTGATAAGATTTGAAGTCAACATATGTTGTACCTGTAACATATGCACGTCGAAGTATTGCATAAACTCCTATCAGCAAGACAACTTGTTCTGTATTCACAGACTTGATATTAGGCGTAATGGAATCGTTGAGAAAGGTAGGTAAATAGATTTTTCTCATAAATATCACTGGTCATCAGCCCAAAGCATCTGTGATATCCACAGGACCCGGTGCCACTGAACGAGAGGACGCGCGCTTGACACATTTGTCAAGTTTTACCAGTTTTACCAGTTAAATTAAAGTAAAACCCTCGGAAACGTTGACCGCCTCCATGGTTTGCGCCCGGAGATATTCTTGTTCGAAAGAATTGAAACATACTAATGGACCGACCATTTGGCATTCTGAGGTTGTGGTGGGTGGTGGACAAAAATGACATTTATTGCAATGTTGGTTGGTTGGTTTGTTGTTTAACGCCGCACTCAGCAATATTCTAGCTATATGACGGCGGTCTGTAAATAATCGAGTCTGGACCAGACAATCCAGTGATTGACACCATGAGCATCGATCCACGCAATTAGGATCGATGACATGTATCAACCACGTCAGCGAGCCTGACCACCCGATCCCGTTAGTCGCCTTTTACGACAAACATAGTCGCCTTTTACGGCAAGTTTGGGTTGCTGAAGACCTATTCGGCTACCCCGGAATCTTCATGGGTTTTATTGCAATGTGTTTCTCTTTAAAAATATCAAGTTCATGTTTTTAAATGCCAAAAAATCTGTTTTTTTAGTTGTAGCTAAAATATTTAAACTCGATACAAAACCTACCCCCGACCTCACCTCGAGAATATTGAATAGTCGGTCCCTAAAACAACAACGATGAAGTAACTATGTTGTATTCTTCACTCAAGATCATCCTCTGGGCTCTGGTCTGTCACGTGACGGCCTGGGTTAACCAATTCGATCAGGCGTTCAACTTCACATGTCCCCCTGAAACCTCATTGTCGCATGTGGTCAGTAGCCATGACAACCACTTTGAGGACCGAGTGTGGGATTTCTCGTGTAGAGCCCCGCCATACACCAGTACCAATATGAGCAACTGTGAATGGACAGGTAAGCCACGATAGACAGGTAAGACACGATAGACGGGTAAGCCACAGTACACAAGTAAGCCACGATAGACAGGTAAGCCACGATAGACGGGTAAGCCACTGTAGATAAGTAAGCCAATATAGACAGGTCAGTCACTATAGACAGGTAAGACACGATAGACGGGTAAGCCACAATACACAAGTAAGCCACGATAGACAGGTAAGCCACGATAGACGGGTAAGCCAATATAGACAGGTCAGTCACTATAGACAGGTAAGCCACTGTAGACATGTAAGCCACTATAAACAGGTAAGCCTCGATGGGCAGGTAAGCCACTATAGATAAGTAAGCCAATATAGACAGGTCAGTCACTATAAACAGGTGAGCCACGATAGACAGATAAGCCACTATAAACAGATAAGCCTCGATGGGCAGGTAAGCCACTGCAGATAAGTAAGCCACTGTAGACATGTAAGCCACTATAAACAGGTAAGCCTCGATGGGCAGGTAAGCCACTATAGATAAGTAAGCCAATATAGACTGATCAGTCACTATAAACAGGTAAGCCACGATAGACGGGTAAGCCACTATAAACAGATAGCCTCGATGGGCAGGTAAGCCACTGCAGATAAGTAAGCCAATATAGAAAGGTCAGTCACTATAGACAGGTAAGCCACTGTAGACAGCTTAGTCACGATAGACAGATAAGCCACTATAGACAAGTTAGCTAATGTAGACAAGTAAGCCAAAAATAGACAGGTCAGTCACTATAGACGGGTAATCCATAATAGATAGGTAAGTCACTATAACAGGTAAGCCACTATAGACAGGTAAGGCACTACATACAGATAAGTCACTATAGACAGGTAAGCTACACTGACGATCAAAAGAAACTATGCCAAAATGAAAAAAATGATGTTCCCAAACCAATCGCAGAAATGCAACTGGAATTCTCGCTTTAGTTCACGGAACTTCAAGTCAAATGACTTTATTCGCTGACGTTTGAAAAACACGAGCAGACATCACAAGACGGATATGGGTGTACAAACAGTTCACAATATTCATCAATGCTTGAAGAGACCAGAGACCAACAGTAATATGCCATTTATGTCGACAGGACGGGCCACACGGAAGCTTGTTCCGTCAGAAACGTTTTCTCATAGACTTATATAGTAACGCTATATTAAAAAACAGAATTAACTGAGCATCCAACAGCTATTACGTGTACATGTGTGCACAGTTTGGCCTTAAACCAGCGATAAAAAATTACTATCTTAGCCAGCTCCTTTTCAGAGTAGAGGAACTTAAACACACCATCGGGGCGGTCGGGTAGCCCAGTGGTTAAAGCGTTCGCTCGTCACGCCGAAGACCCAGGTTCGATTCCCGACATGGGTACAATGTGTGAAGCCAGTTTCTGGTGTCTCCCGCCGTGATATTGCTGGAATATTGCTAAAAGCGACGTAAAACCATACTCACTCAACGGGAAGAATGTGCAACTCGTTGTTCTGGCAGGGAGATTACCATCTGTAGGTGGCAGCGTAACGATGTGGTCCGAGATTTGTAGTATGCAACGCTAATGGCAAAGCACAACGTCAACGGGGTACTGCTTACCGCTACCCAGGGAAAGCACGCATCGTCCACCAACGTTTTGCAGTGCATTATTTTTTTGGTTATTTATCGAGAAATAACAATCCGTTAAACCTTATATCATTATTTTGTCAAAACGAATCATTTTCATCTTAAGAAATAATAACTATCCACCAACATTCCAGTTTCTGCAGGATCTCACTGATTTTTATAAGCTAATAAATTATGCTTCGGTCTTTAATTGTCATAGAGTTTACTTCAGTAAACTTTGGTCAAGCTGCCATGCTTTATTTCTTTGAATGTATTGTTTTGCAAAACCATGTAAATGCTTTAGAAAAATAAAGAAATTATATATAAAAAAAACAATATTGTAGTGAATATGTTACTTTGAGTGAAATATTAATTGATAGAATGCCTTTTGAACATACGTCTGCAATGAAACAGTAATCGTCACACGGCAGAGCGACAGAACGTATATTTTGCACTACTATTATCTATTCTATCAGTGTCACATGCTATCTATTTCATAGATTACGAAAATGACTTTGATCAACCGTTAACCTTCCAATGTGCAAGTGATGGCATCATTGCGGGAATTAGCAGTATCCATGACAACCATTATGAAGATCGTCGTTTCAAGTTCTACTGCTGCGAAATATCAGGTAATTGTGGATGTTTAACGCGGTGAGACCTGTTAGCGATTATAGCAAGTTGTATTCAAGTCACTCCAACTCTCCTCGAAACATTGGATACGAATCCACGATCACTACTTTTTGGCTCGGCTCATGCACGCAGTTTCATCATCATCATCATCATCATCATCATCATCATCATCATCATCATCTTCGTCGGCCGCGCCGTCAGCGTCGTCATCCTTCTTGCCATTATTATAACTACCACTACTGCTACTGCTGCTTGGATGATGTTGATGATGATGATGATGATGTTTATTATTACTATTATTATCAAATGCTTCAACGCAGGCTTTATAACTGGGTCCTGCTACTTCACGGCTTACGTCAACAAGTTCGACGAGCACATGGACTACGTTGTGCCTTCCGGGAAAGTCATGCGCGGCATCGACAGCTACCACGAGAACAAGGAAGAGTGAGTTGTCTTCGATATATATTTCAGTTTAAAATGTCTGTACGCGCATAAACACACATCACATGTAATCATATACGTATTGTTTGTTGGAAGATATCCATGTCGGTCGCGTATGTCACTTTAACGCAATATGGATATTTAATGCTAAACACGTGTATTTTTATCTGTTTTGCTACAATACTTTCTTTAAAAAGAGGTTCCGTACAACCTTATGGATAACAACTTCTGGTTTATTGCATATAGCGACATTTCGATGGAGATTCTGACACCGTTATCATGTTTGTTTGTTTGTATATGTGTTTGTTTGTTTGTTGTTTAACACTGCACTCAGCAATATTACAGCTATATGACGGCGGTCTGTAAATAATCGATTTTGGACAAGAAATCCAGTGATTGACAACATGAGCATCGATCAACGCAATTGGGATACGATGACTTGCATGTCAGCGAGCCAGAGCACCTGATCCCGTTAGTCGCTTCGCACACAAGCATATTGTCGCCTTTTACATTAGCATGGGTTGCTGAAGACCTATTCTAACCCAGATCATCACAGGTCGACAACCGTTATCAAGCTGGAATACATTGCGTTTTATTCTTTTAGTATACATGGATTTACAGGTTGCTGTTCTTTTATTCCGTAACGTGTATATTTCTCAAATGGGCAGTTTAAACTTATTTGTTGTTTAAAGCCGCACTCAGCAATATTCCAGCTATTTGACGGCGGTCTGTAAATTATCGAGTCTGGACAAGACAATCCAGTGATTAATATCATGAGCATCGATCCACGCACTTGGGATCAATGACATGCATCAACCAAGTCAGCGAGCCTGACCACCCGATCCCGTTAGTCGCCTCTTACGACAAGCATGGGTTGCTGAAGACCTATTCTACCCCGGATCTTCACGGGTGTTTAAACTTATGAAACTTGGTATGCTTATATTACTGACTTTTATGCAATTATCTCATTTTAAGGGACCGTCGTTTCAAGTTCGAGATCTGTGACCTTGATGAACACGACACGCCGATTGAAGGAGAACTAAGCTGGGTGTAGATGAATCTTCACATCAATAAAACTTGAATATGAAGGCCATGTTACTTAGAATTTTGGTCTAATGGAAACATCTAATTTCAAAGTTACGAGAAACCTCGTGATAATTGTGTGGACATAATCATAATTTGAAGTTAAGTACCACATGATTCTTTCATATTACTGTAGTTGATCAGTCCTGGCAGGTGGCACGAGTGGCCCAGTTGTCTAAGGCGAAGCGATTCGCTGTGCAGAGTTGCGTCCCTTGGGCACGCCAGAAACCTATGATTGTGGGTTCGAATCCCGGTTTGCCCCGATTATGTTTCTAGGCTTGTCAGCACCATACCCGTGCTCGTGGGTTTCACCGAAGTGTTAAACGTCCGAGACCTGCATCACTCCGGGCTTTCTTCCCACATTAAGCTGACACGCCGCGATATAACTGTAATACTGTTAAAAGCGCCGTTAAACCCAACTCACTCACTCATTCAGTCCTGGCATATTGGTATGTCATAGTAGTTTATTTCACACCTGCACTTTCCCATGCCGTGATATGTTGCAATGGCCTTTGTCACTAGCACGAGCTACACGAGCTGCACGAGAAAACAGGGCGGGTTGGCCCGGTTCAATGTATTCATGCCTTGTGTTTGAACACACTTTCTATGAAGTTATTTCACTGACTTATCCTTTATCCGAAACATGTCCAAACAACAAGCATTCAATATCATGTTATATTCGAGAGTGTATGAACAGAATGTTTTGGGTCATTGCAAAGAACCGAATCGTATGTTTTACGTAAGCCTGCTATAGCCTCCACACTACAGTGGGTATTTGTGTGAGCTTCAACATTTGTCGGATGAGACATTCAGACACGATCTATTTCATATTCATCTGTAAGTGTCATATCAAGTTCCATCTTCCCGAGGCAAGGGAGTTAACTGACTGTGAAAGTCCAGTTTCCACCCTTGCTGAACTTGGCTGGAATTTCTGGGCTCAATCGTAGAGTCACCAGTGGCTATTATGAGTTGTGTCCCTTCTATGTCCCTCCTATTGACAATCAGATGCCACCTCTCATATCACTTGCATTTGCTTCAAATAAAATGGTGATATTATCTGTACTCGTTCAACGATTGCTTATAATGACCCATAACATCCGCAAATCTGAGAACACTTATTGTTTATCGACATTGAAAAATACAATAGTTACCAGCCATTTTCTGAAGCACCTTCTCTCTACGTGATAATATTTACTTACTACATATTTAATTAACGTGGCAAAGCCGAATGGCACATTTTTCAAATTGGGGACTGAGAAGAAAAAAAACGTATTTAGAAAAATATTCATGCGCAGTGAACAGTCTAGATTACCGGGCTTCGAATCCTACCAAATCACGTTTGTCAACCAATCAGATTGCTGCAGGCAGTCCCACGTTTCACAATAATATATTTGCCGGAAACGGTTTTACTTCTATTTCTGTCAATTCTTACAGTTTCTGTAGATGGCAGAGGCCATACAATATTTTGAGTTGAGCGTTTTGGTGTCTCGGTCGCAAACAATAATCTGTCCAAACTAAATTCAGCATATTTTTTTAATACATGTCAACTCATTGACGAATTCGTGAAAGAAAAACTAACTGGAACAACTTTAATAACGTCAGTTTTATATCAAACGCATGTTACAAAATAACATTTCGAATCGTTTTCATTGTGAAAGCACACACAAAATGCCACAATCACCAACAATCATAAACATGTGAGATGAAATACATCTGATGACACATGTAACACAATTAGACACAATTATATGGTACAAATTGGCAATTAGTAATCGTATGATAACATGATTCAGAATGTCGCCAATTATGATTATATATACGTATTAAATATACAATTGTGATATAAGGCAACGAAACACACATTCTTCATGCGTCACATATTCATGCTTTAATATTCAAAGAAGACCGAGAATTTGTCGGTGAGGGTGTAAGGGTGTGGCAGAAAATCGTTTGAGTTGGGTTTAAGGCCGCTTTGAACAGTATTCCAGTTTTATCGCCGCGTGTCAGCTTAATGTGGGAGGAATGCCAGAAGTGATGCAGGTCTTAGACGTTTACCACTTCGGTGAAATCCACGAGCACGGAAATGGTGCTGACAAACCTAGAAACATAATCACATGTTTCTTACGTGTCCAAGGGAGGCAACTCTGCACAGCGAATTGCGACGCCTTAGACGACTGGGCCAGCCGTGCCCCCGTGCATAAAATTGGCACCAACATTAATATACAGTACCTAAATTTTGTCATAGAATGCTGTTACACAAGAAAGGGATGGAATGGAACTAGACTAGTAAGCTCAAATATTTACCTAAGAGAGCTGATTTATGATAGAAACTAAAGAAGGAATTAAGAACTATTATGTTGTAACTGAATGTGAAACAGGGATGACTTTCCGGAGAGAGTGACGCGATCATGGTTGCAGTACATATCGTCACGTACTCAACGTGTGGTCGGTACATGAAATGACGGCCACCTAAACTATCTAAACGAAGGTGGACTTTGTACGAGACATTTCAGTTTTGTGAAATTCTAGAAATCTTGCAACTGAAACGCAAGACTAACCGCGGGCTTCAGTGAACAATCAGGGAGTGTAAATAAAGGCAGACACGTGTTGGTTATTTGTCGGCCGTACTGTACATGGCTGAGCTGTACTTCGAGTTCTCCCATGAGACGACCAAGGACTGCCACAACAATGACCAGGCATTAGTAGGGAGTAAGGTTTTACGCCGTTTATAACAATATTCTAGCAAAATCACGGCTGGGGACACCAGAAATGAGCATCACATTGTGGGGAATCGAAGCCGGGCTTCGGCGTGACGAGCAAACGCTTTACGTGCTATCATATACAACACACACACCCTCCAATGGCACAAAGAAAGACGTCGACCAAGCTCAATGACTCAGAAATATCTTTCCTAACCTCTTCGATGTTTTGTCCTCTCGTGAAGGACGTTAATGTGGTGAGCGAAAGCGACGCGGATACACGACCTGTATCGTTTTACAACCTAAACTTTTCTTTTCAGTGACTTTTCAGTTTTTAAGCATTTTGGATCAAAAGATTCCATTTGACTTCCGAAAGCAAACTAAAACACGAACAACGAGGGGTTTATTAAGTAGTTATGAAATGTTGCCAATGCATTCCAATAATGAATAACATGTATTTAAGTAGTTATAAGCATTTAAACTCATCTATCATGTGATCGAGCTTCAACATTAGCTTAAATACCAAAGGAACGACAACGCAACCCTTCTGATTTAATACAACGACAGAATGTCATCTCGCATTCACGTTCGGGCGATTGGGAAGCTTAGTGGATCAAGAGTTCAGATGCAAGTTTATATCCCTACTTGTACAATGTCTGAAGGCTATTTCTTTGTGACATTCGCTTTGAGATATCATCAATATTGCTAAAAGCAGCGTACCATACTGACTCACTCATTACGTCCTTCTAACGATGGTTAATCTATGGTTTTAGGCTCAAGAAATCGAAACTGGGTCCTCGGCGTTGTGAGCAAACGCTTTAACCACAAGGCGTCCCAATCGCACTTGCAACGGAGAAGTGCTCGCTGACATTGAAAGCAATATTCCAGCTTTATGACGACGATCTGTCAAATATCGAAACTAGACCAAGCAACCAAGTGATGGATATTACAACCACCATCTGGCGTTGTCTGGGTGCGATGACACGCACCCAAATCACCGAGCCAGACCTACAGTACATTTTATTCGCCTTTACGACAAGCATAGATTACCGGGGACCAATTCTAACCCGTGCCTCATGGGAATAACGTTCAATGGAGGGACTAGACTCTTCTCACACATCCTCACATTCCAACATATTTTCTACACGTCTATGTACCTATTCCACAAATCCAGCAGGACAACTAGCCTATATTACATTACTATCCTACGGCCAGCAACAAGCGATATGTACACGTGGCTTAAAGGGCAACTCGACTCCATTTAGCAGACTAAGCAAACCTGATTCAATTTTTTTGGACAAATGGTAGTTGATGAATTATGTCTGATTCCACGGGGGCAATGTCTCAGTATAACATATGGCATGTTGTGGGTATGGGCAAGAATCTGAGGGAGCCTAGTGCCGCTTATATGTTATATTACTAACGTCCTGTTCTCAATGCATTAGCACTGTCATTCCTGATTTCCATCCTCCCGGAGAAGATGCCTGCTTCTTTGGTAGGCACTCGGGATCACTCGGCTTATTCCGCTGACGAGATATACCTCGAGTGGCAATGGATTCCTCCTAATGCAGTCCGAGGTACTATTGGACTGAACGGCAAGTTCAGGCGCCTTGTTAAAGATGGATGTCTCAGGTAAAGGTGGTCCTGAGACCTTTACCAAACATTACTGTTATGATGCTAAACTTTTCAAGATGCATGGTTCAATTTCTAACATAATTTATGATTATGCTTTTCAAATGTCTTCATGATTCATAATCAAGCGGAAGTTCAAAGGTAGTGATGTGGAGTTGCATTGTTCAAGATGGTTTGATTCCAATATTTTCATGACGATGCTTTTGATTTTTAAACTTGGATCTTAAGGTAGGATGAGCGTCCGCGGCGTTCAAGATGTTATTCAGCTGCAAATACATGCTGGTACACGCATAAAACGCTGTCAGCTGTTAGGCACAAAAACGTGCCCTGAGCGTTTTCAATCATTGTCTGTAGAATAGAACCGCCTTTTATAATTTAATGTTATTAATCCAGCTTGATCAAACCAGGAATCTCAAACCTCTCCCCTAGTTTGAGAAGTCCATACTTCTTGAGAATAGTATCCGCCTCTATCCTACTTTCCTGTGGGATAGCGCGACGGGTATCCGTGTTCATTAAACCATACACCGCACTCCTCTGCGAATCCACTTTGAACGCCTCCAGAGCTAACGCCAACGCTTCCTTGCGAATGTCAAGACGGTCAAACAGAATGGCGCAACTCCTTCTGGGATCCTTCATGATGTCTTCATAAAGAACGGGCATGATGTGGAAGCCCTTCTCCCTATTCTCCACGACTCTGGCTACGGCCGCTGCCCACGCCGCGGTGAAGATGCCTACGGTGGACATCTTGGATGGTCTGAGAGTGTCTATCTGCTTCTCGTTGAGTCTAACGTAGTAATTGTACATCATTGACCTAAAACATGGAAATATTGTGGATAGAATGTCATTATCCATTACGAATCGCATCGCCTTAGCCGCCGGGTCTATTTGTAACATGTTAAGGGATGACACAAGGGTCTTGAGGCTGTTTCTATACATGAAGAGTTGTCTTATCTTGGGGAACAGCATCACAATGTCTTCGACCTGGCGTGTTGCGCATGACCGGGTTTTCACGCAGATCATCCCCGCCCTGTCGTCTGGTTTGCAGAGCAGACGAACTGCGCTAGCTAGCAGCTGTTCATATTCCCCCTTCTTCAAAATGTGGTATTTCCACAGGAACCCAAGTTTCGTTATGGCGTCTGGTTCCAAAATGACCATCATCCCAGGCACCCTAGAGAATACCTGGGCCAAGAGGGATGACCCGCAGTGATCTGTGCTGGACAACCAGACCACCCTCGTTCGGGGGTCCCCAACATCAGAAGCAATTTTGTGGAAGGAAGCTAAGGGCATCGTTATCATCTTTGTCGCATGCTCAAATTGAGCCTCGTATAAAGGTCTTGACTTTTTGTCACGGTATATGTTAACACCTTCGGGAGTTTCAACAAACACTGCTTCATCTTTCGTCATGCAGTATAGCGATACGAAAGGCTTGAGAACATAGTTTGGGTGTTTGAATCCTTTATGCAGGGCGATAAAGTTATTAGGGTCCGCAATGGTGGTAGGCAGGAACTTCCGCTTCCAGAATATCTCCTGCACATGCGCACTTTGTTTGAATTGCAATCCCCGTTTGGCGTCACGACGGATTCGCTCCACGCCCGTGACAGCCCACGTGAATTTCTGGAACGTGACAATGATTGAGCGCGTGAATCTGTACATGAGGAATGACATGACGTGGATAACGTAATCCCGGAACTTGTACATCGCCCGGCTGATGGCCTCCAAATGGTTGTTCTCATCCTTCCCGTCCATCTTGTGACGTCACAAGCCGCTTGAGATCTGGAAAACAAATGTAATTTGTTAAAGACAATGACAAGGGCTTTATAACACGATGTTTAATAGATGTTGATGGATTAAGAGACAGTGTTAGACATTCTAGCTTAAGGATGTTGTTTTTAATCTGGTCTGAATGACAAACTCATGGGACGGACTGGGTGACCAGTTCCCCAGAGCAGCTGCAATTCGCTATGCAAAGTTGCGTCACTTAGGATTGTGGGTTCGAATCAAGAGCTTACTGGTTATATTGCTAGGTTTGTCAGCACCACATCCGTCGTGGTTGTAAATAAACTGCTAAAAGCCTGAGACCAGCATCACTTCTGTCTTTACAAGCTGACACGCCGTGATATATTCGCATTACCGTTCAGAGCAAAACACTTACTCAAAAAGGTGGATACGACACACGTCAGATCACAAACGTGTATCACCAGAAATGAGTGTATGTGCAGGGTTGGAATTCTTCACTACTCAATGACAGGAATATTATGGCGATCATTACCACACGCCGAACGGCTGCACAATTGGTGCGCATGTAGTAAACTAATTGTCACTTAGTTATTTTCAGATAATAGAGCTTCAGATTGATGGGAATATGTATGGGTCAAGTGAACCATTCTGACCAATTCCCTTGGGAAACGTTGGGATACGTATCGACACAAAGTCAGTTGTATTTTCAGGTGTCATCTACCCGGGCTCCATGGAAATCAGAAATATTATGATAGCATTTTGACCCGTGAAGATCTGGGGTAAAATAGGTGTTCAACAACCAATGCTTGTCGTAAAAGGCGACTATGCTTGTCGTAAGGGGCGACTAACGTGATCTGGTGGTCGGGCTCGCTGACTTGGTTGATGCATGTCAACGTATCCCAATTTCGTGGATCGATGCTCATGATGTCACTGGATTGTCTGGTCCAGACTCGATTATTTACAGACCGCCGTCATATAGCTGGAATATTGCTGAGTGTGGCGTTAAACAACAAACCGACACACAAACGATAGCGTACTTCTATATCTACAATAACACCTACTGCATCTACAACATCATCTACTGTAACATCTACTGCAATATCTACTGTACTTCTACTTCAAATTCAAGTATTCATGGGGCTTGGATAAAGTTCGGTGACTTGGTTGATAGCATGTCATCGTACCCCGACGGCGGAGAAAGCTGCTCACACCAATCACTGGATTGTCTGGTCCAGAGTGGATTATATACAGAACTCTGTTGTATAGATGGGATATTGCCGAGTGCGGAGTTAAACTACAAACAGAAAAACATATAGCTAACCTATCTCACTAACATCTAACTGTTCCACACTCGAGGCAAACAGAGGTAAAATCAGACACTGGTATAATTCCGAGAGTACACGGGTCGAACCACGCCCAAATGTGAGCGCTGAAAGGGCTGAACTTCACCCAAATCCGACATCCGTGCCAGAATGAAGGAGTAGGTGGTTAATTCTCTGTGTAGGGTGTTTGAAATTTCGGTCAGGTACTCGCCAGCGGCTTGTATATACTTAAGCTTATCTCGTGTACTCAACACGGGACAGACTCAGCTTGTGTCTACTCGTCGGCCTCCACAGCCATTCCATGCTTTAATATTTGTGTACGGAGCAGGTCACGGGCGTGTGTATCGGGTACAAAGGTTGTGTACAGCATTGGCGCAGTGAATCACATATTTGTGTCGGGGGCGGGGAGGCCGGGTACGCGTCAAGAACTGCATGGACTTTGGCCACTCATTCCACACATTAGGCGTTGGCAGGTCACGCTGAAGAAGAGGGTTCGATTCCGATCATGGGTTCAATGTGTGAAACCCTTTTCAGGTGGTGTAAAAATCTATCCTCCCACTCACTAATTCGGGCATGATTAAAATGGAATTCAGCAGTTCTGCCCGAAATAGCTGTGTCAGCGGAAACCTCGGTATACCTACTGGCTATGGAGATATGGGTCACTAACACAAGAGTACTATTTCCTACGAGAATGATGTCAGTTGCAGTTAACATATGGACTGGCATATTGGTCCCCAAAATAAAGTTAGTTCACCAACAAGATTTTTTTACGTACACGGAGTGATCTCAAGCACTGTATACTTAACCGTCAGTATGTCCTTATTTCATCATATTGTGATTCTTTAAGTACATAATTCAAAACTCATATATATATTTTTGAGGAGTTTAGTTAATTGCTGTTTAACTGAGCTAAGCTAAAGAAATATATTGAAACAAATTCAAAATCATAAATGAAAACTGTTTATAACCTTGTTTATGCCCCTTATGGTGCTTGCTTTTTCATGCCCTATTGATAAGCACCGTTGTGGGGGCAGAAATGATATATACCCAAGTTACCTATGCTTTTCCTAAGAGGTGACTAATGGATCGGCTGGTCAAGCTCAGTGGCTTGGTTGATTGCATGTCCTCGTAAACCTGGAGCGTGGACCGTTCCTCATAATGTCAGCCACTGTATGACCCAGACTTGATTATTTACTGGTACTGATGTTGCTGAGGAACACAACAAACGAAGAAATAATTTTGATCGTTATCAGTTTTCGGTGTACCGCGTACAAAGTCGGACATTAGTTGTGTAACGAAAATAAATAGCGCTGTCCTTCTCTTTTCGGTGTGAGCTAAGCAAAATACTTTGTTGAGAACAGGTTTTATTACCATATTTGTATTCAGAATGACACTATACGCCCTTGAGCTAATCAATAATAGATACGTACATTTCAGTTGTATTATCAGACGCCTCCCCCTGTTCAATGAATGAATTTTAGATATCCTAGTATTTTGAACGCAGAGCCTTTGAAACATCCACACCTGATGCGAAGTACTTCTACTTTAAACTTCAAGGCAAGTCCGTTTAAAATATCGTACTGAAGAAAGTTCATAGTCAAGCCATGGTCCCTGTCAATGGGCCACTGAACTGAAGCATATTATACAATTCAGAATATCCTTTTCAGGTCTATCCAGCAGGGCTTATATATGTTGTGAGGACAATAGTTTTTCACTTGTCACCACTGGTTACAACTGAGAAATAGTCGAGGAGAAAGTATTATCAATGGATAAGAAGAAAATTATTTCTTCTTTGGGCTTGGGTCAAAGCCTTCAACAATAATTGAGGCCAGTAATGTTGGGCGGTAGCGATGGTGTTATGAGGACTTTGGTCTTAAGCTTGCACATTTTATAACGTATTTACGTTGATACAGAGAGTGTGAGAGATGTTTTATGCGCTACATACACACTACAGTCAGGCAATATACCATGTACTTTTGCCATCTGCACAGGAGCTGTCCAAATGTTTACAGGAAAACAAGGTAACGAGGTACACCCTTCAATTACCTCGATCAGCATGAATAGGGCTTTGTGCTGTCATTTCAAATGATTATATTCACAAGTGAATCGAATTTCACGTCAAAGAGGAATTTTTCACTCGGGTCTGTTACTCATTACAAGTGTAGCGTTAGATGCTTGAAGTACAGCCATATATGAAAAATAGCTGAAATTAGAGGTAATATTACAGTTAAACACCATTGTGTCGAACTTAAATGTGTCGAACTTACGCTTGTCTCTAAGTTAAAGTTCTATTAATAATTTTCGGTTGTGTGGAATTCGAACTTCGGATGACTCGAAGAATTTACGTATGTTCCTTCAACTTCGACACAAGTTTAAACTATCTTTATTTGTAAAACATGGGATGGAACTACGAAATAACATGTTGAGTGGAAATTCATAATTTTAATTACCTCACCCTAGAAAGTCCTCATGATTATCACCGATTGTTAAATGAATGTTATATTTATATAATTTTTGTTGTATCTCCCAATCTGTAAATTCTCACCCACTGTATTTATCTGAACTTGTATGTGGGCCGATGGCCTTTGATACAATAAAGATATTTGACTTTTGACTTTGACACAACGATGTCTGACTGTATTTGCTAGCTACAGATTGATATAAACCATAAACTTTAATGAATCTTGCTAGAACTCCCATTGCAACGAGCCTAGCGGTCTTTTAAATTTAAATTATTGCAGTCACATTCCCCTCTGACTGTTCTCACCACCCTCGATTATCCAGTGTAATATATCTCCATTCTATTACGATAGGTATTTATCGTAATAGAGGGGAGGTGGGGCAGCCTAGTAGTTAACCAGGAAGATCCGGGTTCGATTCCCCACATGGATACAATGTGTAAACCTCATTTCTGGTGTCCCCACCGTTGGTATTGTTGGTATATTACTAAACACGGCGTAAAAACATACTCACTCGTAATGGAACGGAGTTATAATACACTTGATAATCGCGGATGTGTTCTCTAACCTTAAAACCATTACTGATAGCCCATCAGACCTATGGGGTAGCCTAGTGGTTAAAGCGTTCGCTCGTCACGATGAAAGCCACTGTTCGATTCCCCCCTATGGGTAAAATGTGTGAAACCCATTATTGGTGTCCCCCGCCGTGATATTGCTGGAATATTGCTAAAAGCGGCGTAAGACTATATTCACTCACTCACTCACTAACTCATGGAGACACCATCACACCTATTGATCACCCCATGTTATTTCTCACCATATTGTAACAATCAATATTAACACATTAACCCCCAAATTCAGCGCAACCAAGCCATAACTCATACTCATAAATCACTACCACAGAAGCCAAGCTGTCACCTTTTTAGTAATGCAATAGACCGCAATGTTCCGCACCCATAAACCACGAAGTCCGACCATACGTACCTTGTTCAATTCTGACAGATGTTATCATCTATAATTACATTTAATTGTGTCTCCGAGATATAGTATACTGAAGCGTGACAGACAGGCCCTTTACGAACAGTGGAAGGAGATTATTGGCATAATGAAAGCCGCATGCTTCAGCCGTGAGCATGATGGTATTTAATGGTGTATTCCGGCTACACAGACATGTCAGGCTTTCACGTCATTTACCTGGAATGAGGATGCTTTTGACAAACTAACAGTAATACCTTGTTCTTTCGGTACACACAAT